GATACAGTCATGGTACTTCCGGAGCTTTCATCGCGCTGGCCGCGCATCAGGAAGATTTATACCAAGAAAATGTTTTTAACGTCACTTAAGCACTGATATATATGTTCAGAAAGTAAGCTGCTGCACCGCACCGAACTTTCGTCCCCCAGACTCCTTCGCTCGTGCATATAATTTCGGCTTGCTTCTTCGAGACTGCCACTACTGACATCCATGACGGCAGACAGGACTCACTCTATGTCCTTTGCTCATCGAGTCACTCAAGTGTCGACTTGGTACGGGAAACCAAGGGGTTTTATACTGTTGCATATCTATATAAAGACTCCCGACCATGGTGCAATCCTTCCTACTTGAATTAGTTTGCATAGGTAACCCAGAACGGGATCGAGTGTTCATATCAATGGTACGAACAGACACGTAGGAACGGATGCTGCAGAGCCCTTGAACTCTATATCTGTGTGATAGAATCGTGCATGCATCTCTTAGGTAGATGTCATATGTGTGTTGCTTCCGACAGCTTGATTTATATCTTCACGCCTCCTGGCTTTGGTTAGGACAGCCACAGATACTCCCGCCAGTTCTTGATGACGGATCCCAAGTTTCCTTGTCTGAGTCTTTGACAACTCTCGTAGATGTGCTGGTAAGGGTGTTCAATTTTCCGTCTCGACTCGCGAACAACATCGCGTCTTTTCCGTCCATCACGCGTCCATCCACAAACACTTTTCTCAGCGGCATTACCACTACCACCTGACTGTGTCTTTCTGTTGGAGTCGAGACTGAGCATCGTCTTAACGTGTTCTCTATACACGGTCACTCCACCAGCCGAAATTAACATGGCGCTCCAGCATCTGCCCTCGCGCTGGCTGCGTGTCAGGCAGATGTACGTCGAAACACCGTCCTCAACTCCACTCAAGTGCTAATACATGAGCTCAGCGCAGATCAACAAGCCCGCAGACGAGCAGCCGCGCCTCACCGTGTCTCCCAAGCGACGCTTGCAGTGTTCATGACCCCTGAGCTGCTCCACCTCATCTTCCTCAGATTCTTCGACAGCCCTCACCCTGAGCTCGAAAACAGCAGGCACGATGCAGCGGCACTTTTGCACGCCTCCAGGGTCTGTAAGCTGTGGCGGGATGAAGTGGCACTCGTCTTGTGGCGCCTTTGTCAGGAACCCTACCTCATCCAACAACATGTCAGTTCTGATGAACGCGCTGCCATCGCTTCACATATGCGTCAAGTCTCGATCAAGGAAGGACAGCAGATCTGGCATGGCTCAGCACTCCACATGCCTTCTTTCACGAACATCAAGACGATCCAAGTCCGCTTCACCAGCCCAGACCTCTCTTGTCATGCCCTCTATCTCCCACAGCTCCTTGGCTCTCGAACGGAATGCCTTACTCTTGAGAGCAAGAGCCGTGAACCTCTTCAAGGTCTCACCTTGCCTACAGCCGACCACTTTTGGCTCCGTGCTTTGGAGCAACGCTCTGTCAATTTGCGCATTCTGGAGCTCAACATGACACTGCCTTCTTCAGCTATCACGAGCCTTAATCGTCTCTTGCTGGGCACTTCTCTGACCAAGTTGACTCTTGGCCCCTTGCTCAATGACATGATGAACGACTTCTCGGTCGCCTTGATTCTCGCCCAACAATCAATGCAATACCTCAAGATTCATTATCCCATCCGCCCTTCAGCATTTGAGACACTCGAACAGCAGTGCGGCGGTCGTCCCATCCTTCCTCAGCTTGTCAGCCTCCAGATGGTCTGCGCAAACAATGCCGACCAGGTTGTCGCTCTCCTCACATCCTCGACCCCTAACTTGAAGCTACTCCATCTGACGCTGTCTACCTTCGCAAACGACGGTCCTTGGGTCATGCAGAGTGCTGATTTCCAGGCCATTGGCGGACTTGCTCATCTCGAACATCTTTACATCAACCTCGTGCGTAGTGACAATGGTCTACCCGCCAACGTCGCACTGAGAGGTGCGGACATCATGACAGTCACCGCAATCCCCACTCTAATCTCATTGAACATCTGGGCCGATCTGCCAACCTTCAACTACAGGCTGGAGATCCAAGAGACGTCTGCCGCAGAGGTGATCTACCTCATAAGCAGATGGCAGCACCTATGGAGTGACAGCCAGATCAATCTCTGGATCGAAAGGCTTTTCTGCACCAGGGCTCAGGAAAAGATGTTGAGAGAACTGTTTGCAATCATCAGTGAAACGAACTTCTATGTCAAGTACCTGGCTGTACAGGATGACCCCGAACTCGAGCTCTGGTCTGACTTCGTTCCCGACCCCGAGATCTGGCTGGGCAGCAACGACAACTTCGCCCCTGACCCCATGAGATGGGAGCCTCGCCCGCTATACCTCTCAGGGGCAGAGGTCGGTAGAATCGAAGATGAAGAGGAGCAGGAGGACGACTACCTCGTGTGGGGCCACGAAGACGGATTCCACGCCCGCTACGACTGGGACCTGGTTGAGTGGCCTTCTCGCGGCAACTGACTTCGATAACCTTCGCCTTTCGCCTCTTCATTCCGTCGACACGGCGAGTCTCGGAAGGAGATGCCATTGCCCCCCTCACATCAGCTTTCGTCTCTGAGCTTTCTCCTCTTTTCGCCTTTTTCTTGCGACGGATTTGGTTTTTGTTTTTCATTTTGTGTTTCTTTTGTGGTGATGAATGGGGGATTGTTGGAATTGGGAAGCACTGGAGCGCTGCGGACGCCTGCAGGCATCGAGCAATGACCAGCAGTTCGGATGGCGTTCTGGGAAGGAGTTATGGTAGCTCTGCAGTTGCATGCATCGAGCCAAGATCACACCGTGTTAATCTCGTCTTGTATCGACACTTTCTCCTTTTCATCCACCCGTACTGTGCCGTCCAGGTCTGATGTCTTATCCCTCACCAGTGTATATACTGACAGTCGTTTCTGTTCAGAGTAGCGATTCATACTTGATCAACCAAACTAGCTGATCAAGATGGGAACGTTCTCACAACCTGTAGGGATGATGTAGAAGTCCTATGACGAGAGTGTTTTCCACTGGTCCGAGGTAAAGGAGAGTCGATAGCAGCTAACTCTTCCTCCCTCGTTGATATCTGGCTTATCTGCGCATCTCCCAAGATCCCTCTCTCTCTTGCCATCATATTTAGGATTCAGGCAGCTGTTACGAAGTCAATGGTGATAGAAGGTATCATCAGCACTTGACCTTCACCTGAAGACATCATGTTGAAGAAGCTATGTTGGCGACTTAACCAGAGAGAAGCTTGATGCGCTTGAATTCCTCACCGAGCTGACTAGTGCTAGTCATGAGGAAGTTTATGCTTGTAGCGAGGTTCTCAACATTCTCAGCAAGTCTCTTGACCCTTTCGGCAGGACTCTGTGTGGTTTCAGCATATCTGCAATTCTAAACACGATATCCTGTACAGCGTTCATAATTCCAACGATTGCGGTAGCGGTGACCTCATTGACTTGTAAGATGGTGAAGCTGTAAACAAAAAGCTGTGCAAGAACCAGCGAACAACGATAAAAGGGAATTGAAAGTGGCAGAGACAATAGCATTGTGATTGGTTGGTCTTGTGGAGCAAATCATTGTCTGATCTTTCCTTGTTCGATGCTCTGTTGGCTTTGACAGTTTTGGGCATAGCTTTTGTGTCCTTTGTTCAAGGTGTTCGTATTCATTGTCCTTCCGAGCCAGCGCAGCGTTTTTCGGTGGAGAGATTCAATCTTGCATACAAAATGCTTCATACCGACACATAGATGGTGATGTATCAGTTCATCGAATAATAGACATTGACAGCCGATTAATTTCACTATGTCTTACCACCCTTATCAAACTTACTCTGGCCAGTCCAGTTATAGTCGTCAGCCCAGCCGTGCCGCTTCCTTATCGCAACCTCGTCAGTACCCATCTCCTCAGCAGTACTCTGCAAGAAGACCTGCCCTCCCACTCGCATGTCTATCGCAATCAAAACTCCGATGATGGGTTTTCTTCCGATTCCGCATATGAGTCTGACTCTGATGATGATGAACTGCCCTATCAACCATCTCAACGCTACTACCAGACCTCTCACACCTCTACGCACGAGCAAGAGCGTGCTGCAAACAATCAAAGAGTCCGTGAACAACTCAGACGTAAAGAATCCCAACGTGTGCTTGAGACTGGTTACAGCTCTTATCACACTGCAGGTACCAGACCCACGAACTTGCTGACTCAACCATTGTACTCTCGCACTCCTGCTGGTAGGTACTATGCTGAACAGAGAGCTGAAGAGAGCAGAGCTTATCGAGAGAGAAGTTGTCAAACCCAACAACCTTTTTCTTCATCTGCTGGCTATCGTACTCAGAATGTGCAAAGCTCTTCCTCCGGTGTTGATCGTAGAGTTGAGAGCGTGAGACGTGGTGGTGTTTCTCGTCAGACTTCTCGTCGTCGCTAATCACAGTTCTAGATCAAGTCTTTTCCAGTTAGAAAGTTTGTTGTTGGTCCACTCATTCATATATCTGTTCTTGCCTGAGGAGAGTACCAAATCTACATCTTTTATCTTGATCAATTTCATATTATTCTTTCCCTATATGTGCCATGTATTATTCAATATATTCGCTTCCCCTGTACAATCACTCTCCCTACGTAGCCCTATCTCGATGCAAGAATGTCTCGTACGAATCGACGACTACCACAGAGAAGTCTTGTCGAGAGACGTTTCCTTGGTAAAATTCCAAGATCAAGATCATATTCCGTATCTAGACGAGTATCAATAGCTAATAGTCCTGGCATGGAGTAAGTTGAAGGTCGAGTCCGAGTCTCACTCAGGGGGAGTTCAGGTCGACCACACGACTCGGCACGATGTTCGCTCGCGACTTTCGACACCAACTTGTTTGCGCGTCCTGACAGCACCCAACTCTCTCTTCTTTTACAACACGACTTACTTTGCACCAGCATCACAACCACTATGGCTGCATCGAACAAGCGTATCAGGCGTGGCGCGGACTGGATTCCTCGCTCGTCTTTCGCAATGGCTTCTGCATCTACTCCCCCGCTCCACCCTGCAGAGTTTGCGTATGTCCATATTCCTCCTTGTTGCAGCTGCAAAGTACTGATTAAGATGCTTGCAGACCTCACCCTACCCAGCTTCGAAACCCCAAACTCTACACCATTGACGAACATCCTCTCCTCAAGCCTGAAATCCTTGCCGTCGTATTCTCTTTCCTCGCCGAGAAGAGCAACGACACCGATAACAATGATGATGACAACGGCGACAGCGACGGCAACGACAACGACAGGAACATCTGGTCGCTCGCGCAGGCTACAGAGGTCTGCCGTCAGTGGTGGGAGGAAGGCCATCATCTCCTCTGGCGTAAGATTCAAGTTCGCGACCTTCTCTTTTACGTGAGAGATCCCGCTCGTCGCTCTTACTACGCCTCGCTCGTTGAGGAGCTCGTTTTCGAGCCTGACGACCATGTTCTCTCCACTACCAGGATGGCGAATGCATCCCTGAGCTTCCCGCGTCTCCAGTCTGTGAGGCTGAACGAGACAAACATTCTCAACGTTCGCCATGAGAATCTGTCGAGCTTGTTGACATCCACATTACGGTTGTTGTCATTCCACGGCGACGCTGAAGTGTATCACCCCACCCGCGACAGAGATGATCAAGTCCTCTTCAATTCATTGCTAGCAAGATGCGGCAGCCTCGTAACTCTGAAATTTGACACTTGGTGCCACGACTCGAAATGGCCAACAAACCTTTCCATTGTAGAGCGCAGTACCTCTATTGAACATCTTACTCTTGGCTATGTCCTCGAGCGTATCATGGCTAATCACCCACCTGATGATACGTTGCACAAGCTGTTCAACAAACCACGACTTGTGTCATTGAGCTTTCCTCAAGGGGTAGACGTCTCTCAAACAGCCGTTGATACATTGCTTGCCACAATGGGTCGCAAATGGTTGCTTCCTTCTCTGCGCCTTTTGAGAAAACCTGGTTTCGACTGTGGTATGGCAGCTGCCCGACTCATTGGCTGTCTGCCAAACCTTGTTGATCTTAGCTTCTCGATCACTCGCTGGGATATCGACCTTGAATACGCCTTCATCGCAGTCGGTATGCTGGAGAACCTGCAAACCTTGGACATGGACATCAACATCTACAACGGTGATTTGGACGGCTCGTGGCTTATTCATCTCGCTGGTCTCAAACATCTCAAGTGGCTATGGTTGGAGTTCGATGAACCAGGCACAATCTCCCTTACTGGTACGCAGCTCGCATACTTCTTGACTGGCCTGCCCAAGCTTGAAATTCTGTCGCTCGCTTTTGGCTCCCCGGTGGTGTCCTGCTTGCCAGTGGAGAAGACCACTATCGAAAGAGCAATCGCCAGGATCGCTACTGTCAATATCGAAGACATGACCTTCGTCACTCAAGAAGCACCTTGAACGATCTGTCGGGCGTCCTTTACATATTCTTGTTTCGTCACAGATGTTACTTATGTGGCCTTCCATCAGCCTTCTTCGATGTTCTACTTTCCCCTCCATCAATCCTTGACTTCCCACTCTCTTTACCAGCCTCTTTGAAGTCTCGTTCTGCCCCACACATTCGTTTATCACTGTTCGTAGCAGTCAATCAAAATCTCTCTTCATACCATATTATAGTACCCAACGCTCTGAATGTGATGTTGGTGCCACGGTATTTGCGTCGAAAATTAAAGACCTATGCCGCGGCAAGTGAGGATGTAAGACTTGAGCACTCTTCAAACCGATGCGAATATATGGCTATAAGGCTATTGATGTCTTGTAATCACTATGAACGTCATGTTCAAGCTTCCAATTTGATTCCTTCATATCCAGGTTCTAGTCAAGCCAGTAGAAAGTCAGCACGAAGGGTCCCATACCGCGAAGCCGTCTGCCAAGCGCCAAGTGTGAAGATCTAATGCCAAGGAAAGGCAGAGGTCTTTGTTCCTCGGAGCCGAGGGATGTTCGTGATCAATCGTAGAAAGATGCATCTTATTCCCGCTTGTGATCTACCTTAAGCACTCTGTACATGCGAGCCGTGGAACTTGGCGCGTGAGTCGGCTACACCTCTAACACTCCATCTCGACTCAAACCTCCACGGCTAGGAGCATATGACGACAACGTTCGTAGGGCGAATGTATAGCTAGGTTAGTGCGTGGTTTACGCATTGATGACCATCATTGGCCACGCGACCGATAGACACAGGGCAGTGAAAACATATATAGTGTTCCATATCCACATGAATCATGTTTACATCGTTTCGACCATCCAGAGGCCTCTCGAAACTCATCATGCGCTCTTCAACTCGTTCTCATACCCTTCTTATCGTTCTGCTTGCGTGGGCCAACCTACGCGAAGTCGCCTCGGAGAGTCTTCAAGGTTGCGCCGCGGTCCACTGCCCCAATGTCTCGCCAGAATTCATCGTCATCTCGTGCCAGGTCCAGGATCAGGACAGTAGGTGGATAGGCCTCGAGACTGAGACCAATCCGATTGACTCTACAGCTGGTGACTTTACGTGGACTCTGACGGTAGATCCTAATCCACCACTTGTCGATGGCCAGAACATACCTGGAGTGACGCGCTCGTTCCACCTTGGGACGCCTCCCGGGACGGCATTGCGTGATGCCAACTTCACAGGTTGCGCGTTGTTTTTCGATCGGCCAAATTGGCATGGATTTGTCCTTGAGCCGGACTCAGGAGATTACACGCAAGTCACGAGCGATGACTGCTCTTGGGGTTTTGGAGCCGATACAGGCGACCAATGCCTCGAGGACCTACAATCTACTGCCCTGGAGCTCGCCGACCAGGCGACGAGCAGTCAGAGTAGCACCACGATTTGTGCGAACATTGCCCAATCCNNCCTCAACAGGGAGGCCCCATCGTCGTGCTCTCGCTTGCAACAGAACGACATCTATCCCTACACCGTACATGCAGTTGCTTTGACCGATGCCGATGCCCCTGAACCAATCACCTGGGCATCCAACGAATCGTCCAACTGCTGGCCGATCCTTCCGAAGACGAATGAGCTTATCCCGCTGTACTCCTACACCTTCGCAAACAATGAAAGCTATCCGTGGTTCGCGTACAGTCCGGTATTGAGCTTGTTCTTTAACGGAGAGGACTCCGCTTCCAGTACCGGTGGCCGCCTGCGAGAGTCGTCGTTTCATTGCTTGAAAGCTATAGACTCTGACGACGCCAGCTTGGCTACAAAGACTGATGGTACAGGGGATGACGATACAACAAATTCGGCTGGGCGTCAAGGAATCGTGCGATGGGGAGTTTATGTCTCGGCTCTTGCGATGATGTTTGCGTTTTATCACGGCTCTTAGATATACTACGCCAATACTTTCCGCTGTGGCTGTCACGAACACATTTACATGCTGATGCATTCTTTCGATGATAAGACGCTATAACATCTCCTGTGCGTGTCCCATGATACACATATAGCGAGTGATTCGACTGATGTTCTGACACTCGTACAAGGCTTTGGCGCCCGTCCTGTTCGTAAGCTCTTGCAGCTGGGAGTCGAGTATGGCATGAGCCGCGTGCTGTCGGAGGCGCAAATGCTCGAGTGGAAGGCTCTCATGCGCTCTAAACTACAAGCAGGCCTGAACAGATCTACTATGGCGACCGTATATATATACCAAGTAGGATACGTCCGCAGGCGTTCTTGACATACATACCAAGATTTCTTGTGTGCTATCTGGGATGAGTTCTCACAAGGCGCATACTATAAATCGATAGACTTGAGTCGTTCTCTGCTTTCGGACCTCGCGATCGTCGCAGCCTACGGAGGCCGACACCTTCAATCTGAACTATCTTGAAAAGGAAACAAGGTACAAGGAACTAGGTTCACGAAGCTAGAGGTAGCTACCGCACCAGAAGCAATTACTGCATCCTGAACGATGCCCACGATTAGGATACAAAAGCAAGGTGAGACTGATGAATTGAGGTTGAAAGACTAAGAGAAAATGACAAGAACGACTGCAGACCTCACTATGGCTCGATGCAGCAAATTGTGCAGAGCTTAAAGTTCGAAACTCCTCCGCTCATCTGCAAACCCGCTTCAAGCAATAGAAAAGAAAAATAAGAAAAAAAAGCAAACTTTGCAGGCACAAAAGACCACATTGATCCGCAAACGAGAGAGGATGGATGCCCATTTCACTTCCTCCACCTCAACCCGGATGTTCGAAAACCCAGTGGCTGTACCAAAAAGTTCTGCGTATCATGGCCTGAGAATGTGTTTGGCGGCCCAGGCGTACCCTGGAAGACAGTGCTTTCATTCGTTCAGATAGAAAAAGTTGTAACTGCCATCTGAGACAACTTCTTCCATTTCCAGCGCCCGGCCATGCTTGTTAGTAAAGTGGCCTAGGTCACGCTGAACCCAGGACACCGGGTCAGGAGAGAATGCCTCCTAGCTCCCCTTCCAGACTTCGTTGAGGGAGGATCTAGGGGCAGGTGCAGAATCCATTTCACCATCCAATCCAGCTTCTTCCTCGATAGTGATGTCAGAAGGCAGGATCCAGTTTCGGGAAAAGACCGAACCGCGCTCATGAAGTTCGTCGTTCTCAGCAGGGGTCAGGGTACCAGTCCACACTAGGTCGATCGAGACAGCGTCGATGGAGCTGAGCACTAGAAGTGCGGCTCTGAACTTGAGACCTAAGATATGGAGGGTGTTGACTTCGCGACCCGTCTCACCATGATCAGACTAGAGGAAGAGGTTGGTTAGCTTGCGCAGAGGCTGCAGTGCTGCCAGGTCTTAATCCGTGAGGTCGACACCGTTGGCCAGGTTGATGGACAAGTGTGTAAGGTTCGAAAGGGTGCTGATGCCGATGAAAACATTGGGGTGCAAGTTTGAGGACCTCTCGTCGGTACCAAGGACAGTGATGCTCAATTCTCCAAGGGTCGGCAAGGCCTGGAACAGTTGACCAGCTAAGGAGATATCAGCTCCCGAAAACGTGATATTCAAGCTGGTGATATCAGGCAGGAGCTCTAAGGCTCCACGTGTGCTAAGGAGGGCTTCTAGCAAGTTCTAAGTAAGCGCCTGCTCCAAGCAGAGTGTTTCGACTCTAGGCAATGTGAAGACGGCTGCTAATGCAGTCTCATTCCAGACGGTCTCCAAACTAGCTCTAAGCCGCAAGTCCTTGAGACGAGGCATATGGTTGAAGAATTGCGAAAGCTAAATAGGGGAGACAGCAAGAGCGATGTTGAGGTCTAGAGTCATGAGTCTGTGGCAGGCGTCCGAGATGTGGACAAGACAGTCATTGTCGATTAAGTAATCTTGCTGTGTGTGGAAGTCCAAGGGGTCGTCATGCAATGCAAGCTCCTGTAGACGCGAGCTAAGATAGGCAACAAGCAACGTGCTGTTAAAAGCACGGCTGCCTAATCAAGAGATCTCCAATTTCTTGAGCCGCCACGAAGCAGGGTTGATCATAACTTCAGTGTCACAGACCTGCTCGTAACTTCCAAGGTCCAGTCCCTTGAGGAGCGAAGCGAACTCCAGTCGACGATCAGGCTGCGCGATGTACATGAGGTCCCTTAGCTGTGCGTCTTTCCAAAGAATGGGGGCATCAGCCTTGTAGAAAGACGAGCACGTTCTCATAACTCTGGCGAGTGTCTGGGGATCTTCTCGGAGATGCGATAAGATCGTAGTCACGATCTCATGATTTTGGAGTGCACGATGCGATTTGATTGCCAGACTGCACAGAGACGTTAGATACCATCAATGTGAGCGAGATTAGTAGTAAGGGACACATACACAGGGGCCTGGGTCGCGTATATGCGAGTAAAGACGCGCCAGAGGCTTTGATGCGATAGGGACTGCCTGAGGTTGTGGAGTAGTCGTGAGAATAGCGATAGCTCGGTAGGAGAGGGAGGTGCCTTCTTCGATGAGAGCTCTCTGCTGCGTGCGACGACGTGGTCAGTTGATGAACGTGATCAAGTTATCGTACGGTGACTTGCCTGATGCCACTAGGGACTTGCTCAAGTGGCGGACCCATCGTAGTGGTATGGATGGGCAGATCGTGCTTTGATGAAGGTTGGAGAAGGAAGCTGTCAAGGACAAGAGGTTGCGTGGAAGGAAGATACAGATGTATGGTGTGAATGTGAAAGCTGAACAGTGATACATAACAGTCCGGTGCTGTCGACTTTCCGTGGCCGACACCAACGACGTCATTCTTTCGTTTTCGCTCCAGACTCGAGTCGAGCGAGCATCGTTCAGATTGCCAAGAGCGTTGCAAAAGGCTTTTGTTATAGGTCTCATTCTTTCCATGCACATGGAGACAACTCGAAGTCTCAAAGCAGGTCGAAGACCATAACACCGACAACCTGCACCCACTTGCTACAGTAACCTCAATCAAGAAATAGGCAAGGTAGTAACCGCAGAGCAAAACAACAACGTTGACCAGATTACAGGAAAGCTGACCATAAGAACTGAGAATAGAGCACATCTTGAAAGTACGGAAGTAGATAGAGCCAAAGGGTTTCAGCGGCGGTGATGAGGAACCCATAGAACTTATATACTTCAGTCTTCGCATTGTCCAAGACAGATGGTATATAAAGTCGAAGTACAGGTTGATAAAGTTGCATGATTTGTTGCGATAAGGAGCCAATGGCTACTGCGGAGAAACTGAGCGATATATAAAGCCCAGAAAAGTGGAGAGAGACTCAGCCACTATTTATCGTTGGGAGATCCGAGACAGGGGATATAAGGAAAGCCATCTGCAAAAGCATGACCGAGAAGAAGCCAGGATCAGGAAGCTTGATCTGGGAAACACTTCTCTCTCCAGGCATCAGCTTGCTTGACAGGACATCATAAAGCCCAAAGCGGATCGAACGATTGCCTGGCAGCCGGATTAAGATAGCAAGCAAAGATAAAAAACGCTACACAAAGAAGACAAATTATCCTTACTTTCCTACCAATTGCGCGTTCACGATATTGACTTCAAGAATGAGGTTTGCTCAGGTTTGCTTCAAAGGCTTCCCTTGTCGACAATCAGAAGAACAAGTTCGCTTTTTGTGCCCCAATCGAACAGATGCCGCTTGCTATGGACAGAGATCAAGAGAAGAAAGTAGCAAAGTCACATCACAGGCTCTATTTCCTTGCATAGTTAGAAATAAAGCAGTATCTGATTTGATTTGATTTGATTTGATTTGATTTTCTCAAGCTATTTACCCCGCAAGGGGTATGAGCTGTCGCTAATTACACCATATTCTGACCAATAGCAGTCGTCAGATTCAGTAGAAAGGAGGGTAGTAGTCGCAGCAGACCGTGTAAAACATTAACGCCGATAACTCCTAAGTGCCTTTATAATGAGTGTTATACACGTCCTTCTCTTAGTGTAGGGGGCCGGTAGCCTCCTCCATAAGGGCTCTCCCCTATGTCGCGTACATCCTTATCGGTAAGACGCTAATTAGAGGTAGTTATGTTGCTAAGATGGTGATCATGTAGTAGTTGGTCCCTATGCACTTCCTATTAATTATTCTTTCTTACACCTAGTATTGCAGTCTGCCTATCGCCTTTACAAACTTAATAGTGGCTTTTACTGCCTGCTAATCTGGTCGCCACTTATCTTTCTCACTATCTATAATCTTGCCATTCTCTTTGTGGTCTGAGTATCCTCCTAGGGCATATGATATGTTGCAGAATCTCCTGCCGTGTGCTAATTTCATGTCTTATCTCTACTGTCTCTATCGTAGGTAGAAGAATAGGAAGTGTTAGACTGTTTCTAACACTCCGCATTCGCACTTATCCGTTTCTACTACTTTAATCTTATGCAGATAGGTATTTAGCCTAGATATGTTCGTTCTAAGCTGTGCTAGTATAGAAGCGTCTGTCCTACTAAGTGCGTCGTACAGCTTCTTCGTGTGCTTTCCTAGTAGTGCTTTGTCGATTCTCTATAAGAACTTTCCGGTTTTAGCTCTATAGAACTCTTCTTGCTTAGGCTTAAAACCTGCTATTTTCCCTCTACCATAGATCACTAATATGGGTACTATTGTAGCGGGTGCTAGCATTAGTTATGATTCATCCGTTGCCATTTAAGCTAGCTCGTTAGCTCTCTCGTTACCTGCAATTCCTTCGTGTCTAGGAACCTAGTGGAGAGAAAACGTTCCTTTCCTGATCTTCTCTCTAATTCTTATGACTAGGTTGATACTGTCGTTAATCTTCGGGCTCTAGATGCTCTACAACGCTCCTTAGCTGTCTAAGAACACTCGTATCCGTACTTAGCTATTTATGTCGTCTAGGATGCCTTTAATTGCTGTCCATATTGCTAGCAGTTCCGTGTGATGAACATTAGTGTCTTCTTCTCTTCCTACTAGCTTTGACGCTCCCCAAGCAGTATCTGACGCGCCGTAATGAGTATATCGCGGTTGATACATTTGGACAGGGTGTGTACCGCAGCATCGGGACTTGGTGAGAAAACAAGTCTCGAATTTTTGACGAAACTCTCAAGAGATAAATAAACAATCAACTCAAGACAGAACTCTTCGAGACGGTGTTCTGAAGACGGGAGATACAGTCTTCGAAAGCATCCTTGACGATGCCGCGTGTCGTCAGCTCTCCACGATGTTCGAGATAAGGCCTCGGCAGCTGCATGTCGCACAAAGTCTATTCGCCCGCCGCAAACCTTGTCTCCATGATTTTGCTCGATCACATCGAGTAACACGCCCGGCGCACCTATATCGCTGTCCAAACCAACAAAAGATAGAGAGATACACCAACAAGCCAAGTTGCTTGGATAGCTCCAGCCAAGTGACATTGACGATACAATCCATTGGCTCGCCGGCGCCCAGCTTTTACTCACCCGCTTGCGTAAGACACACATTCTCCGGAGCTGTTTGCGACTTTTTTCCTTCTTGCGCTATTCAGCTTGCGGGCCTCGAGATCCTTTTCTCCAGGTTTTGGGACAGATTTCTGCATGTGCTGCATCTTGTTCGGCCTTCCAGAGCGACCTGGAAGGCAGAAAAGAATCACAATGTCCTTATCTAAGGTTTTGGTGATCAGCGTTCAGCCACATCCCCATCCTTTGCGGCGCTTTGACCCTGTACAGGGTACGTCTTTCTTATCTACAACGACGGTCGCTGGCAAGAAAGATGTTCATATATAAGTCATGACCGTTCGCCGCTTCTCTCGGCCTCTGACACATAACAATCATGCCATCCATGTTGCGAAAAATTGTCGGTAATCCCGAAATGCTTCGAAATCAGTACATGTTCGCTTATAGTAGTACAGGAGGTCGAGCATGACAATGGACTGTCGAACAAGGAGTTGTTCCTCACCAACCATGACTTGAAGATCGTCGAGCCGGAGCGGCGTCAGTGGAGAGCTTTCAACTTTGTCGGCTTCTGGATTGCCGACTCGTTCAACATCAACACATGGATGATCGCTGCTTCTTCGCTTGATGTTGGCTTGTCATGGTGGCAAGCCTGGATTTGTGTCTGGTAGGCCAATCTTGTTCCGAGTCGAGAATTTCTGCTGACGGCTTTCCAGNNGGTCGGCTACAGTATCTCGGCATTCTTCATTTGCTTGACTGGTCGTGTCGGTGCTGTCTATCACATCTCTTTCCCAGTCATGAACAGGTCTTCGTTCGGTATCTTTGGTTCGTTGTGGCCTGTATTGAATCGCGCTCTGATGGCATGGTGAGTCAAGAGTTTGGACAACTCAAGGCAATCTTTCTGACTAGCTCACAGTATCTGGTACGGCGTGCAAGGCTGGATTGGCGGCGAATGTGTCTACCTGATGATCCTTGCTATTTGGCCCTCCTTCGGCACACGGGCCTCGTTGACCAAGGAGATTGCTCTTGGTGGCACTGTCAACTACCTCATCGGCTTCATTCTCTTCTGGGCCGGTTCTCTTCCTTTCATCTGGTTCCCCGTCCACAAGGTCCGCCACCTCTTCACGGTCAAGGCCGTTGTTGCACCCACAGCAGGTATTGCCTTCCTCATCTGGGCACTCGTCAGAGCTGGTGGTGCAGGCAAGATCATCCACGAACCTGCAAAAGCCCATGGTTCCGAGCTTGCCTGGGCCGTCATCACAGGCATCATGTCTTCCGTCTCCAACTTTGCGACTTTGATCGTCAATGATCCTGATTTCTCTCGTTTTGCAAGCAAGCCCAGTGATGCTTTGCTTCCTCAATTCATCACCATTCCTTTGGGCTTTGGTCTCACCTCTCTCATCGGTATCCTTGTCGGCTCTGCCTCAGCAGTCATCTACCCTGAACTCGGTGCAGTCTGGAACCCCCTCGAACTTCTGAAGGCCTTTATCACCGAGGACGGTCACGGCAGTGCAGGCGCAAGAGCAGGCGTCTTTCTCATCGCAGCCGCTTTCGTTGTTGCCCAACTCGGTACCAACATTGCTGCTAATTCCATCTCTGCAGGCACAGACTTGACTGCTCTGTTTCCTCGCTACATCAACATTCGTCGTGGCGGCTACATCTGCGCCGTCATCGGTATTGTCATCTGTCCTTGGCAATTTGTCGCTGGCTCAAGCACCTTCACCACTTATCTGTCTGCATACTCGGTGTTCCTTTCTGCCATTGCTGGACCGATGATCATCGATTACTACTGCGTTCGCAAGGGATATCTCCAAGCCCGCGACTTGTACTCTGCAGATGTGAATGGCCCTTACTACGGCAACTTCGGCATCCAGTGGCGTGGCTATGTAGCCTACATCTGTGGTATCCTCATCAACGTGGTGGGTTTTGCCGGCGCGTGTGGAGCTTCTGTACCCATCGGTGCAACCTACATCTACCGCCTCAACTTCTTTACCGGCTTTGTGGTCAGTGGAGGTGTTTACTACATTCTGTGTTTGATTGCTCCCGTCAAAGCACCCAATCCTGTGGGAAGCTGGCTGGAGGCTCCAGAGCCTGATGAAGAGGATTTGAGGAATGTGGTTAGTCATGGCAAGGATGTGGGAGAGTATTCGAGTGGGTTGGATGTGGAAAACCAAGGAGGCTTCTTTAGGAAGAAGATGGATGCTATCACAAAAGCTTTGTAGATGAGAGGACGTTTTGGAGTCGTTATGTGTATACGAAAAGTTATTTGTTCTGTCTAGAGTGTTCACCCCTTCCTGTCTGTAGGTGTCCAGAGGTTCGTTGAGCTCTGTCGTCGGACTTTCCATCTTCTGCTTGTTCTTCTGGGAAAGTGTATCTATTCTGCAGTCATGTGCAGCAACAGCGCGAGGCAGCGCATTGTGGCACAATCAGGTAGCGTCAATCTTTATGAAACGGGTTCTTTCCTTCTCTTTCCAATTTTCTCTCCAATGTTTCTCTGATGCCCATGGCGAATACCACCTAGTCTCAATCCCTGTCGTCGGGTCCCAAGGGTGCATCGGGATAGTAGTAGTAAGAATTGCTACCAGATCGATCGTGACGCCAGCGGTTCTCGTGCTTTAACTCCCAAGCGGCCTTAATATCTTGTTCGAAGATTGGTGCTACAAAGCCCGAACGATATTTGCCGAACCACAGCGCTTCGAGCTTTGGTGCAATCTGCGGGATCAGATCGGCCATTGCAATTGCTCTCTCCGCCCTATTGCATTATCTGGTTAGTGCTGGTCCTCATCGAGCTTCCAATTCAGATGAACACAATTTTGGGTGACTTACGAGCTAGTGTTAGGCATTGGATCGTCACGGATCAGACCGGCGAACAGCTCGCGCAGTTCTGGAAACAATGGAGGATTGAAGGACGCCATATATCATCGTCGAGAGTACCACACAAACTCAGCTCTCTAAGATCGCGGGCTGTTTGTGCAATAGTAAAGAGCTGGTTCTGGAAGTGCCAAATATCTTTTATTTGGATGAACATAACTTGCAGTTTGTGAAGCTCGCAAAGTCTGCTCTGTGGTTGAATGAGGCTTGCGATGTTGGCATCTGGAGGAGGAGAACGGTCCGTGTTGCCCAGGGAGATAGGGTGGGTGAGATTCTTCAGAGGATAGAGTGCTTCCAGATTGGCACCAGCCAGGCGGAAGCCATCCCAGATTTCCACGGTGAGCTTGACCAGGGTAGTCATTTGAGACAGGTAAGGGAAGATGCTGAGGCCGGCGTAGTCCAACTCGAGCTTCAGTCGTGTCAAGGAGGACAGGTGTGGTAGTAGGTAGGTGGCATCAGCGCCCCAAGTTCGCAGATCGAGGTCGGTAAGATTGGCGAGAGCGGGCTTGGAGGATACATTGTTGATTCCATCAATAGACTGCCATGGCGACCAATGGATCGAGCTGAGGTGTGGATGTCTCAGCGTGTGCATAAAAACGTCATTCTTTGTAAGCCTTCCTGCTTCGCAGCCGATAGCGAGGCATCTTAGCTCTTTGCAGCACTGAAGGACGTTGACCAAGTCATCAGAGGTTGCACCAAAGATGAAAGCATCGAAGATGAGTGATTTGAGCTGGCGGCAATTGCGAGCGAGATGGGGCAAGAAGTTGCCGGTGGAGAGTGTAGCCGAAGAGTATCTGTCGATCGTGATCACGGGGTGGATATCACAGACCTGCGTGAGACGCAATTCGGTTAGAGTTGGAACCATGAGATGAGCCAGATTGATGTGGCACTTGAAAGGTCTGCCACGGAGTTCCCGTGTTGTTCGATAAAAGATGGCAAGGCGCTTGAGCTGCGGAAACTCGATACCATGCAGTGGGGGAAGGATCTGGCAGGGACGGATATGGAGCTCCATGTGACGGATGGCGGCGGCATAGCGGTGTCGGCGTCCGTTGTGTGTGCTGGCTAGAGTGCTCAGCATCTCAAGAGTGGCAGTCTCCCAAAAGAGTTTGCAGATGTGCTCAAACATGGCCTTGCTCGTCAACATGATGCGTGACAGATCGCCTTTGTGTTCTTTGAGCTGCTCGAGGATCATGTCGACAACCTCAGGGGGAAGTGTAATCACACGGCCACCAGGGGTGACGACACTAGGTAGCGCCGTAGCAAGAGACATAGTAACAGGATGGGACGGAGCCGCCATGTTGTGAGGACAACGAGAGGGATGCGCCAGTCTGAGGTTGAACTGTCGCGGTGGAGAGCGTGCTTGCAGGGTTGGCGGAAGAAGACGACACGAACCAAGGCGCGTTCGATGCGAGACCGTGGGTCCAGAGGTGTCTGCCAAGTCATTCGACAAAAGTCCGCCATTCGGGAGCATGTTGCCATGGACACGATGGCATCAACACCTGGTTCCAGAGAAAGAAAGCCGCTCGATGCTTCATAACGCTGACTCAAGCAGAGATGCCAGCAAGCAAGATATCACTACATTCCGTATACTTCAATCAATTCCTATCACAGAGCTCGACATACGGGAAGTTATATGCTTGCGTAAGATGCTGATGGTCAGATATGGATGAGCGCCTTGAAACCCCTAGGTCTGCTCTCCATCCTTGTCTGACCACTCCAAGGCCATTTTCCTGCTGCCCTTGATACACCTAGACTCGACCTCCTGCCTCCTTAGTTGCTCAAGGCAGCTCTATTGGCACACTTGCAACTATCAGGTCGGTGACCGATCTATTAATCTTCTCTATGGCCGTTCGTTCTCGCAACATTCCCATCTGCAGAGGCCTGCAAGATCTCCGCACCGCCTGCCTTGCTTGAGAATCTTTTCGCCGGCTATGACGAATTGACAAAAGTCGAGTTCAGAGCCAGTCGCTTGATTCCCATTCTGAAGAAGTACAGACCGTGCCTATGGACATGTTGCTGGACATCATGATTCCCATCCTGGCATAGGCCACGTTGCGAGCTTGCGACGATGCGAAAAGCCGGATGCGTAGAAGAAAGAAAGGAGACGGAAGAAGCTTTGTCCAATATGGCACGAAGCGCGATTGTCATTCTCAGACCGTCGATCGACTGGACATATGAACCTGCCTTTGACCACAGGAGCTGCTTTGAAGAACTCAAGTTTCTTCCGCCCACAAACTGCATTCCTCCACCCTGCGTTCGCATACTCCTCAATTTGGTGTTTTCTGGTCATCTTCTTCTCGATCTGATTGGGTTACTTCAATCATGGATCTAAGGAGCCATCACCACATCCTGCTTAGCTAGATTTGAACAAGAATTCTCCATCAGCGAAGCCATAAGGGAATTGAATAGAGATGCTCTCGGCAATCTTCAGTCAGATACGGGAAAGTACGGGACTGTACGTCCATGCTAATTCAAGTCACCTTAAACCATACGGAGATGGTTCCGCCCGTCAGACGCATGCAGGGACTCGTTAGAAAGCTTGACCCTGGTTGTAGGGGTCTTTAAGCACCAATTCATTCGATTCTCATCAGCACCACTGCCATGATCTCCCTCTCTCCAGATGGTCAATGGCCCATCGTAAGCAGCAGCAATGTAGTCTCAATGGTTTGAGTTGTTTGCGTCCATTCGATGACGATATCCGAGCACAGCACGGACGCTCGGACATGATTCGGCTGTCGGTTGAAAGGAAAATCTCTACTGTTCCTGGCAAGGCGAGCCTAAAAGGAAATTTGACAGGAGGCGGCTTCGAAAACCTCAAAAGTCGCTTTGCACAAAGAAGACAACGTTTGGGATTCTGGCTCTACCTTCTGCATACCTTTGCAGCTCCAATGCGTCATCCCACCATCGCTTCTTTGCCGACCTGGTGCAGCCGCTGGGTGGGCTATCGCGATGACCCTGTCAAGCCTCCGCCGAAATATCTGGTCTATTTCTGGTCTTTTGTGGGCGCTTTCTGTGGTCTTTCTGTCTTGACGGCACTTTTCAGCTATAGCGAGTATTTTCTCAGTCGCGGGGTGCCCATTATTGTCGCTTCTTATGTGAGTCTCATAATCCCTCCCCATGTATAGTTTTTCCGTGTCTAATAGATGGCCAGNGGAGCATCAGCAGTGCTCGTTTTCGGAGCAATAGAAAGCCCACTAGCTCAACCACGCGCCCTCATCTTCGGCCACTTCATCAGCGCCTTAATCGGCACCTGCGTCACCAAACTCTTTGAATTCCTCCCCTCCTCACGCTTCCACGAGTTACGCTGGCTAGCTGCTTCTTTATCTTCTGCAATCGCTGTGGTAGCCATGGAAATCACCGAAACCACTCATCCGCCTGCTGGCGCGACTGCGTTGTTGCCAGCCACCAATGAAGAGATCAGAGCGCTTTCTTGGTATTTTTTGCCGATTGTGTTGTTGTCTTCTGTGGTGCTTATGGTTGTTGGGCTGCTTAATAATAATATCCAACGGAGGTATCCGATTTTTTGGGTTGCGCCGGTGAAGCCGCGACCTGCGATTCCAACCACCAAATAGGGTTGGAAAAGGGTTCCGAGGTCGGAACCAGGAGATGCTGGCTCGCTTGCTATGGTTGTTTATTGCATGAGATGGTAGAGAGAATCGGGTCCAAAGGCAGCACCAAGCTTGGTGTGAACTTCGAAGCGCAAGGAGCTTGAACTGACAAAATCCTCATGCCTACGATACACGACTATCGTTGGTCCTATTGACGAGCGCATCTTTAGATGGGCAATCAGCAGAGAGGACATCTCGAGTTCCTACCGTTGACCCATCTTGATAGTCGCATCATCAATCATGCGAAGACATCTAGAAGAGCCTTGCGAATTCCAGACCTCTCACATTCGCGGCCTTCTGTCTCTGCAGCCATGTCCGTTTGGCAAACATCTGCAAAGCTTGCATGATTCTTGCCGCGGAGAACGTAGCGATAAAGATGATTCAGGATATCCTGTCACCACCAGTCGGCCTTGACTAGTCGCCACTCCTGCAAATTTGACAGACAGCAATCTTATCACGAAGAATACTTCAAATAATGATGAACGAACAAACCGCCATCAGTTCTCAAAAGCAGTCTCCTAATACCTGTGTCTACCTGATATCTTTTGCTGGATTTACTTATTTTTGAGTTTGATTATTCATACTTCTCCTTATGTATCTCGTCTTCCGAGTTGTCAGGGAACTATTCTGTGTTTTTTGAATGATGTAGAGAATAATAACCAGAATGGATATGCCTGAGTAAACCGCGATGCTTAAACAGCGGATCAAACCCATGAATCCCAGAAGCATCAAGGGGTGACGATAGATGGTTAGTCTTACGATCGAACCAGACGAGCAATGGAGAGCGTACATGGATCACCTCGCTCCCGATCGTCCTGCTTGTTTTGGCGATGTAGTAAATGTAGTTTCTTGTACACCGTATAGCTATCTTCATGCCTGTGCACAGAGAACGACGAGAACGACATCTGTTCACCGGGTTCCACACGGTATCTATGGATGGGAACATATTCGTACGAGGATGCGAGGGAGCAGACGGAGAGGAGAGAAGGCAAGTTAGGGAGAAACAGGAGAGGCGTGAAATTTAGATAGAGAAATGTGGCCTTGGAGTCTGATTCGTAAGAGCTCTATCATGACTCAATGCTTTCGAGGTTAGCCCCAATTAGACCTTTGTGATGTTGGGTGTTGTCAATGCTCAATGCAAAATTGCAGAGCTCCAACGCCTTTGTTTCCCTTCAACTGCAGTACTCCCAGAAAGAGCACAAAGAAAAGATGCAGAAAAGATGCAACCAGCACCGAAAACAGACTCCCACCACCCTTATACTCTTGCTCAAAGGACTTCTTGTAGAGCCTCAGTCCTGTCTCATCCACAAGGTATCAATTGTTCACACCCTGGAAACAGAACCCCTCCACACCATCTCCACGGCACCCTAGGCATCCCTTTCGCCAATCATTTCCTCCCAGGTTTCCTCGACCAACTGACCCAGTCCGCCATCACCGTTCTCACTGAGGCGCAGTTGTTCTAGCTGCGGAGCATGTCTCAACAACCTGCGAGCGATCTCGCCGGCCCAAGCTTCTCTGAACCCGCCCCAACTACGTAGAGGTATGGTGGACTCAGCGCGCCCCAGCTCCAGGACTGAGAGTCGTGGGAACAGGGTGCCTTGCTCTGAGGTTAGGGGTTCAAGCGCAAAGGGGCCATCCAGAGTGAGAGTTTGCAAAGCGACGCAGTTACGTCCCAGGGCGATCAGGAAAGCATCGCCGAACGTGTGGGTCGCGTGCAGAGTGAAGGGAGTTCAGCAAGGGCAGAGAGCCTAGAACAGCAGCGAACAACTCAGGCCTTATCAAGGAAGTGTTCAAGGCTGCTTGGTCGTTATCTGACAGCTCCAGCATCTCAAGATGCTTCAGCGGGACGAGACGAGTCAGGTCATCGTCTTTCAAAATGTAGTTGTTGAACTTCAGGTAGATCGTCTTCAATGTTGTAAGAGTGGAAAGCGAGGAGAAGATGCTGGGTGCACCATAGTCGCTGAACACGGTGAGCTTGAGGAACTCTAGTGCCTTCATGTGCGGAAGGACTGACGGCGCAGCACTCGCATCAATGCACAATGTAAGGCTGGCGACATGTTGGAAGGGGTCAGGGATGCCGCCGATCAAGGATACCAGGTGGAGATTGAGGTGGCGATCAATCTGGAGATGGCTGATAGCAAGATGACGAGCGATGGCATTGATGGTAGTCTCGTCTATCAAGCGATCCGTGTGCTTCTCCAAATGTAATGTGTTGAGCCTTGTACAGTTGCTGATGACCCTTGTGAGATCTTCAGGAGTGGCTGTTCGGACGCGAGCGCGAAGGGCAAGCGAGCGAAGGTTCACACAACCACTCAGAGCAGGCAAGAAATTGTCTGTTGTTGGCTTGACATCAGGGCTCTCATGCAGCTGACCTCCAACCTCCAGCTCACGCAAGCAAGGACTAATGAATCGCTTGATGCGCGCGAAGGTGATGCTCTCAGTACCCATCAAGACTCGGTCGTGAATGACAGTCAGACTTTGAAGTCGAGGATAATGGAGTCCGTATCCTTCGTGGGGGTCGCCAGGGGCCTTGAACATGATGGTGATGTTGTACAGTAGATCTGCGTAGAGCTGGCGATGAATGGGTTGCTTGCTCTCGAGAAGAGTCAAGAGGTCATTCTCTGGTGTCGCCGAGCGCCAGTAGAGCCGAAGTGCCTCGTAGATCGAAGGACCGCCAGCCGAGATGAGAGCTTCCAGTGCGGCTCTGTTGTTGGTAAGGTAGCTGACGACATTCGCGTAAATCTCAGCAGGCAGATCAATGTAGCGACGAGCTGGCACAATGGCGGCCAAGGGAACGGCGCCGCCAGGGGTGGCCATTGTAGTGTTTCTCGCGTGCGATGCCAGAGGCAGAGGTGTTGTTGATGAGAAAAGGAGTGGAGCACGAGAAATTGGATCGAGTACGCGAGAAGAAGGCGCGTGCAAAAATTGTTGTGTTGCTGGGAAGTGACTATGTCGTGGCCGCCATCGGTTTCACACGTACTCTCCATCTACACAACACAGTGCTGTTGCTCCCGAGCATTCGATCAGCTAAAGGTGTTGCTTGACACGCGTCACAGCTAGAATCCGATCAACGTCCGGACGAAAAGCAAAGGGCACAAGTCAATACGGTTTTTCTGCTACAAAACCTCAAAAACTAACCTCCTGATCGTCATGGCTCAATGCAGATATACAGAGCTCTGATTGTGCAAAAGAAGCAGTACCAAGAAGGAAAACACAATGGAAGGCAACAATCACCGTCGCAAAGCCCACGCCAAATCAAAAACTCATCCTCCAGAGACTTGGAAACCAAGTTGAAGACCGTGGCTTGCTGCAAAGAATGTAAAGTCCCTCCTCCCACCACCAAAAGGACAGGAGAACATGCAGCGACAAAGACACCAAGAGAAACAAAAAAAGGGGCAATTTCAACTGGGGGCAACAGGTTACGGAACAGTAGAGGGAATCTGTCTGTTGGGAGACCAAAAGAAGCCAGAAGGCGCCGAACACATGAGGTGGCGCACCTCCAATGCTGTTGGGCTAGTGGAAGAGATCGTAGGAGGGCACGGAGTTGTCTGTGCATGTGGACAGTAATCGACATCTCGAGTAACTGTGCGGAGAAGTCAACGATAGTACAAGACAGCAGCAGCTCAATTCTCGTCCCCGTCATCATCCCAGTCAGAGGAGGAGAGATGGGTTGTACCCTGGAACCAAGCGCCCTCGACCTTACAGGGAAGCGTGTCAAAAGCACGCATTTGAGTGGTGGCTCTGAAGGTAGATAGTTGGGGTGCGTGGCTGCGGATTGCCACTGCAATGTTGACGGCCAGCTGATCCCTATGGAGTGCGTCAGTACAGTCATTAAACCAGGTCAGTAAGGGATATGAGGAACTTACTCCGAATCTTCGTCCAGCGAGAGGTTGTGAGAGATGATGTCACCAATTCAAGTCGATCGAGGGAAGTGAGCTTTCTGAACACAGAGAAGAATGACTTGGTACCATGTATGACAGCACGCAGGGAACGTAGTTGAGGTAGACGAGAGAGCAGTGGAACAACAGCAGTGGCCTCGACGCAGATATCGAGCGACTTCAAGGCTGCGAAAGGCGAATCCAGATCACGGACGGTGGAGACCAGGTGCTCGTCGAGGAGTTTTTCGATGCTCAGGTTGGCAAGACAAGAGTGTCTGCCCATGGCTTCGAGAGTGGCGGCTGTGACAAGAGAGCCCGTGTACTTGCTCAAAACCAGACTGTCGAGCTTGGGGCACGCGGCCAGTGCCTGGACAAGGTCTCCTGCAGAAGACCCGACGTGCGCACGAATCTTGAGGACACGCAGTTGGCTACACTGTCGAAGCGCGGGAAGGAAGTCATCAACAAGCGGCTTGGAACCAGAGCCCTCGTGCTCTTCACCGCCGACCTCGAGATGCATGAGCGAGGAGCTGAGAAGACTTTTGATCGTGGCGCGAGTATAGCTGAACGCGTCCATGTGCTTGTCGTTGTGGATAACCTTCAGCGTCTGCAGGCTTGAGAAGCTCAGGCGGCAAGTCGCAAGCTGCTCGCCTGGAGCTTCCAATTCCATCGTCAGGGTACGCACAAAGCCGACGAGTCTTTGTTGCTGGTAGTTGTTGAGGTCGTAGAGGACAGCCAGCTTGCCATTCTCTGGAGTAATCTCCTGCCACAGAAGTCGAACTGCCTGTTCTGATCCTGGCACATTGGCGACTACAACAGCTCTCAAAGCGCTTTCATCGATAGTAGGGCAACTCAAGACCTGTTCCCAGACCTCGCCAGGGGTCGCGCGAACAGCGCGGGAGGCGCCAGCATTGAAAGCCATGTTAGGAGAAAGTCTGGCGCAAAGAAGTTTTGAGAAGTTGATGAGAGGCGTGGAGGGGTTGTCGAAACAGGAGGTGCTTAATGAAGATAGCGGTGTTGAGAGGCAGCAGAAAGACAGTGATGGGGATGATAATGGTGGCGCGACAACAAGGAGTCGAGGTTTGCGTGTGATAGAGAAGCCCCTTGTTCGAGTGGTGACGCAGGGAAGAGTGTTGTTCTGGCGCCGAAAGACGCGAGAAAGTGGCGAAAGCAGTGCAATGATACAAAGAAGATGGCGCGGTAGTAAGAAGTGTGGTTTACGATGGAAGAAGGGGCTTGTTGTGGTTGCGAGGGAGTTTGCGCGAGTTTGGAAAAAACGCGTTGTTTGTGGGCGACGACATCATCACCATCGCGGAGCACCTACAGTAAATGCCAACACTGGCGAACATCGCATGGAATCTCCTACACTCTTGCAGGTCGCAAGTGCAGTTCGATACTTGGTTACGAAGCATGATTACGGACCTAGAAGTTTACTTGCTGCCATATACGTGAGTAGAGTATGGTAACTTCTGTACCAATCACGGAGCCTCCTGAACAGGTCTCCCTGAACTGCACTTCCTTCAACACCCACGGTGCCATGAACCCAAAGGCAAGTCCAATATCATGGTTCAGCCACCTCGCTCTTCCCACCCGCAGCTCTCCTCCTCACCCTCTCCACCGTCAAAGCACCTTTATGTCTCTTCTCCGTAATAATATACTCCCTATACAAAAAGCCCGCACCAACCGCCCCACCAGGCCCAAGCACAACTGCCGCCGCAGCAGCAGCAACAAGCAGAGTGATCCAGCTCTGAGTAATCATACCAGCAGCTTTGGCATCCCAGGCAAAGTACAGCAGCCAGAGATATGTAGATGGGATGGCGAAGAGGTAGTTCCATTGCATGACGTCGGCAGCGGAGGTTTGGATGTCGTTGAGGAAGGTGGGGATGTGTTGCGGCAGGAAGATCTGAGATAGAGGCCCAGAAGCGGTGAAAACGGTACGTAGCCAGACGATGGTGGAAACGAGAGCCGGAATACCAATGGTATACCTAATAGTCGAAACATCTCGTTTTGGCGCATGGATCTTATCATGATCACTCGTATCCTTCCAGATCTTACTGATGGCGAATTGAGCAAGCGAGTGTGTAACAGGGAACAATTGCCAAAGCTGCAACCATGTTTGTCGCTGACCGGCCTCGGGCAAAAGGTAGCTCTGGATCAAAGGAAGATAGTAGACGAGTGCGAGCGATGGAAGAATGGCACGCGTAAAGTGTAGATTGGTCAATCGCATATCAGTGGACTTGAACGAGTCGATGGGAGACAGTACCCAGTGGACAAAGTAGTACAAGGGTGCAATCATGCCCAGGCCGTTCCTCTGGGCAAAGAAGGCGAAGAGAGAAGGNNTCTGCAGATTGTCAGTCGAGTCTCAAATAGTGGTAGTAGGGACTTGCAGTTGCACGGGCATCAGAGCATTACAGCGGCGGACGGCCTCGAGAGACCAGACGGCAAGAACGACACCAAAGTACGCGAGGAAGTTAGCAGTACGGACACCGGCAGCAGAATCAGCGTCGGTAGAAGCAGCCGCGAACACATCCTGCAACATTGAAGTCCTNNGGAAATCGTTAGGGACGGAACCTGGAATGATGTATGGTACGTACCTATTGTTCTGTCCACCGAAGCCCAGTACATTGCCCGTCAACGACGAAGGCATGAATACGTTGTCGAACCAAGCAGAACCGTTCATACTTGCTGAGTCTGAAGGCAGAGTAGGAATGGCAAGTCTCCAAGCACAAGCGGAAAGAACGAGGAATGGCAATGCAAAGAAAGCTCGAAGTGGAAGACTTTCTTTGTAGCCTTGACCTTGCACAGGATTGAATGGCATGTTGACCGACAGAGAAGCCTCAGGTGGAGGAAGGTAATCGATCAGTGTTGCTCCGACAGACATGTCGCTCTGAAGACCTTCGAAGAAGTCACCCAAGATGCGAAGGCCATACCGAGCAANAAGGGTATGAGCCCATGTCGCAAGCGCTTGGCAATGAGTAAGGAAGTTTGACATTTCGATTGCGGCAGCAGCTCGTACTTCGCGACTCTTCTGGTAGTCCTGAAGGCATGCGATGATTTGTTGCTCAGACGGGCGTTGTCCGTCTGACTTGTCTGAGAGCTTCTTGATTGAGTTGGCAAGTGCGGCAGCACTCTCGATCGCGGAATTACCACCGAAACCTGCNNGAATACGTCAGGAAGTTTGCCAGGAGGCGTTTGATGAGATGAAGCAAGACTGACCAGCATTCGGAGTCATTTTGTGTGCAGAATCGCCGAGGCATGCTATGCGGCCCCAAGTCCAGATCTTNNGACATGGTCAGCAACTAGATATGCAAACAGCGAGCAAAAGTCATACCTTGTAATGGGCAGTCTCGATACCGACTAGCGTGCTTGATACACTGTTCTCATGAATGTCTCCAATGAGAATCTTTTCGGTGACCTTCATGTCGCTGTGACGCTTCGCAAACTCATCCCTTTCGGCTTCGGTATACTTGGGGATATGAGGAGGTTTGTAAGTCTTGTTCATCTGCTCGAAGACAAAGTAGTATGTTCGATCATTTTTGCCAGCGATCGCTATCGTGCTGCGCTTTTNGTTGAAGCCCACCTCAATCTCGCCGGCAGGTAGACCGCATGATGAGGAAGCAATACCGTAGAGACATTGGTACTTGCTTTCGAGNNAGCTGCAAAGTGAGTCAGCATTACTCAAGCGATGAACCACTCTCATCTTACAGGTCTTGTCCTTCTTTACGAGCTCGGGGTCAACCTCATCTGCAAGGCGCCACATTTCGCTCTTCGCTTTCGAGTTGACACCGTCCGCGGCAGCGAGTACGTCTCCTGTATAAGAAGTACCGTCCTCACAGATGACTGTCACTCCGCTTGCATGCTGACGGACCGTAGTGAGATTCTTGCCGACCAGAACCTTGCTCTTGTCTTTGAGATTGTTGTACAAGGTTTCGAGAACATACTGTCGATCGGTAAACGCGAAAGGGTAACCGCTTCTATGCAAAATCAGGTACAATACTCCACAAAGGTAGTCTTCCACATACCGAGCCTTCATGAGCTGAGAAACACTTGAAGCTTTTGCCAACGGTCGACCATGCTCATCACGATCGTGGGCCCATTTGATTGGTTNCCTACTCTGATCAGACTATAAATCGTTGGTGGTATCCAAGGGGTGTGTTACTATGTATGTGTAGAGTGTGTCGGTACAGCCAAGCTGGTCCANAGATCTGCAGATGGTCAGTTCATCGCAATTGAGACTCGAAGCTGATTGACTAACTCTACACCCATTGGCTAAAATGCCGATGGATGCACCAACCTGAGGTGCTATCTCGTTGCGCCGCTCGAGAAGGATATAGTCGACTTTGGCTTGCTATGAAAAACGTTACATGGTGTTCGGAAACAGTCCAGAGATGCGCACCTCGAGAGCATTTGCAAGTGTGAGGCCGGCAATACCACCGCCAGCGATGATGACTTTCAGGGGAGTTGTCATGGCTCGGATCGTGGTACGAGTGATGGATTTTGCAGACGAGAGGATGAAAGAAAAGTAGGAAAGACAAGGAAAATGCACCACAATATATGAACAGATGACTTGGAGTTAGGACGCATCCTTTAGAGTTGCTTACCTCAGACTCGACCGCAATAGCGAATGGTGGGACGTGACCAGGGCCCTGACAAGGTGCGCTTGTTAGCGACCGTCAGGAAGCTCATGTACAACCCATGTGTCGTGCCGATCGTATCCGCACTCAGCGATGTACCAACTTGATGACTCCTTCGACTTCGATGAGCTCTGACTTAACCGAACCTCGACTGTCTCATTCGGTCGGTGTCTTTGAAAAATTGCAATGAAGATTTTCGGTCCCAGGATAGAGTATGTGGCTACAAACCTACCTGTACCCAAGTTGGGCGCTGCTATAGTTCAAGATGGTGAGTTCGCCAGGCTCTGTCCCAGAATGGACAAAGGCAACGCCTAGAGGGCTCAGCACTTGGTTGTAAAGTCATATAATAAACGACACGGCCAAGAAGCGCAGGATTATGGTGAGACTAGAGGTGCATGAGGAAAAGGTGGATCCCGCCGGCCTGACACTTGACCGGTCGCGGACACACGCGGGTGCTGAATTGCTGTCCGTGTCACATGGTAGTAGATACTTGGGAAATACTCAGAAAGGATTGAAAACCGAATCGCAGACAAGTGTGAGTAAGATGGCCGCTTGCGTAAAGGTCGAAGTCTGGGTAGATGCGACAAGACAAAGAGAGGCTTCGAGGGTGTTGGCCGAAACAGGCAGGGGCGGCGCCAAGACATGGTTGGGTCGGGAAACTCCGCGTGTTTGAGCGACGCGCGCCCTCGGCCAAAGAGCGACAGGGAAGTCGCGACTGCCAGGAAGAAGCGACATTCTCGATAGCAAAAGTGACAAAAGTAGAAGGAGGTGCTGTCTCTGTATGCTACAAGACTCGTGGCTGGGCACATTGAGGAAGGAGCTGCTGCACGCGTCGACCAACCTGCCGCCCGAGAGCGTCCACACCCACCCCCGACCGTCAACCGACACTTCCTTACCACCTTCGATAGCCCCAGACTCCCTCGCGGTTTCCCTACCCACCTCGAGCGTCACCACCATGGCCGACCTCTCGGCCCTCAGCGACCCCACGGCTGAGGCCTTGCCCATCGATGCCAACGACCACGAGGAAGATATTACCGACGCCAACGAGAATGACGGTGACAATGACAATGACGGTGACAACGATAATGATGTTGCTCCTTCCACATACAAGATCGTGTGCGAAGCTGCACCCCCTGAGCGACGCTTTCCCTCGTTCGAGGCGGCCATAGAATTTGGCAATCAGTGGTCGCGCGACAACGGCTTTGACCTTGTCCGCATCAACAAGGGCAAGCAAGGCCGCAANCCCCAAGGCGTCACTTACAAGTTCTTGTGGGAGTGCAAGCGTCATGGAAAACCTGCAAACACTCGCAAGTTGACCCCTGACCGTCGACAGCGCGCTGCCAGAGGTTCGGTGAGAATTGGCTGTCGCATGCGCATCGTCCTCGTCGCTGTCGAGCCTCAAGTCCCTCAGGGCGAGTGGCAGATCAGACATTGCGGTCGCAACGGCCACAACCACGGCCCAGACAATGCAGAGTCCTTCCCTGCTGTCCGTCGTCGCACTCGCACCCACGAAATGGACGTCTTTATGGCTACTCAACTGCGTCAAGGTCTGTCCAGATCAGAAACTCTGCAGCTCGTCCGCCAACACTGGCCTGACGCTCTTGTCACGCGTCAAGACATTGGCAACTTTGCAAAGACTTTTGCTCAGAAGATCGGAGCTTCGAGACTGACCCCTGAAGCGACCCCTGACAATNNTCCCCCCATGCCGCCTGTGCCTTCTGCTTCTGCGAATGTTGGTTCAAATGTAGCTTTAAATGCTCAGCATGCTCAGTTGCAACATCCTCAAGCTCAGCAATCTCTGTCTCATCCTCACCCACACCCCATGCAATCACTCGGCATGCCTGTCCAGCAGCCAAATCATGACGCAACTCGAGCTGCCTACCAAGCTGGCTATCAAGCTGCTGTCGAGCAACATCGAATCAACAGCGACCTCAATCATCGTGTTCAAGCTCTCGAGAGCTCCGTCCAAGTACAAGACCGTATCGCGTCACTCGATCAGACCGTCAACAACCTGACTCAACTCATCATGAGCGCTTACATGCCTCACATCCAGCATCCACAATCATGATAATTGTGCTCGAGAAGGGGGTTCGGTGTCTGCTTATGCTTTTGCTTGTTCTTGTACGTGATACCCACTCGATTCTGCTTTGCTATCTCACGCGACTGTATCTTTTTGTTCCTATTCTCGCTTCGATATCGATATTCAATCAACTTCTTGTATCCGTTTCATCCCTGTCCAGAACCACATGCCCATTGGCTCAAGCCCCACGGCTTGGCATACCTCGGCGCTTAAGGTCCAATCCGACCACACCTCGTCGATTTTCTTTTCTTCTATCCACGTCTTGATCTAATCCTGGCTGAAAGATCATGTCAGCTGCCCAAGAAGTCCTGTCTCTCCCCGAGGTCCTGTCGTTGATACTGGAGTACCTTGAATTTGATCGACCAGCGCTCTACTCTGCGCATCTGGTCAACTCCATCTGGGCTCGATACGCTCGCGACATACTCTGGCGCAATGCTCCTCTTTCCTCGTTAGCTACAATCGAGCATGCTCGACAGCAGCAATACGCAAACCTGATCCGTATTTCCTTCTCATGGACACCAGATTACCCTGCTGAGCTGGACAAGCTGTTTTTTCCATCACTGGAGCGGTGCCTGTTCGAGGCAGCAAACCTCCTCGACCTCCCAGATATGCGTTTGGTTCTACTGCCATTCTTCAAGTCATCACCACAGTATCTCAACATGTGGCTCAAAGGTGACATGACTCCGGAGATCAGACCTCATTACAGCCGACGCAGTCTTTGGGAAGATACGCTCGTTCTTCGTCGAGTTCCGGTCGCGAAAATGTCAGAGCCGGCCTGGTCAGTCGCTCTTCATGGCGCGAAACTGCGCTCGCTCGTCTGTGGCAGAAACTCCAGCAGCGAAAAAGCTGGTGAAATCCTGGCACGTATAGCATCCCACGATATTTGCGAAGAATTCTTNTTCTGGGCCATGACCATAGACCTGGGCGCTGTTGACTACCTGCTTTCTGCAATCGCCAAAAGACCCCTCTTTCCTTGCTTGAAGCACTTTGGAGCTTTCATACGCAGAGATGCAGCGAGGGTCTTGTTCTCATACCTACCCAGAACGTTGTCGAGTCTTCAGCTTTGTGTCGGAAGTCTCGCAGGACCATATTTCGACTTGGTCACCCAGTTCACATGTCTGGAATCACTGACAATCATTGGCTGCGAAGACATCCTCGGCATCTTTTCGATTCAATGTCTGGGCAGGCTGCACTCTCTTCGTACTCTGGCCATTGAGCTACTCCCTCTCAACGAGTCTCACCAATTTGGCTGGTTAGCAGATCAAGCAACACAGACAGCCCCTTTCACAGACGCTGGATTCGATGCCATGACTTCTGGATTACCTTTGTTGCACACGTTGGTGCTCAACATACCTTGCGAACTCTCATTGCCTGCTCTGTCATCACTCGCGACCAACTGCCCTCGCCTGAATACCTGCAAGCTGTTGACCAAAATCAATATCGATCGCTGGGGAGCCCAAGAGCATCCACACTTTCCAGCCCTAGAGGAGCTAATCTTGACTCATGGCGAATATGGAGACTTATGGGGTGGCACCTACTACGAAACTAAGTGGTCGAGTCCTCGAAATTTCGGAAGACCAACAATGCATGTGGTGAAAGAGAGTGATGTTGATCCTGCTCACCCTGGCATGATTCTTCGACACTGCCCCAATCTCTCTCGGCTGCATCTGCATTGCAAGGATTATGGTATGTTTGAGCTTGGACAGATCAGGGCTCGAGAAGGGAGACATCGGTGGTGGGGCAATGTGATGAGTAGTGCTTTCTAAAGCTCAAGTAGGTGGTAGGTAGTTGGTCATGGATTCTCCTTGCATTGTTCTCCTCATACATGGCTCCCAGATATGTTCAAGGTGTGATGCTAATCGCTCGTGCATCCGTCACTCACTCATGCACGTCAAAGTCTTGGCATTTCTGCCTACAATTCGTCGCATTGTACATGTCTCCTCTAGCCTCTGTCATCTCAACCACAGCTCAGCAACAAAAAGCCCTCTCGCATCAACCTATCTCAGACCATCGCCATCCCATCTATCAATCTTACTACCTCTATCGTCAGCTTTCATCACACACCAGTCATGTCACTTCAGGTTCGGCTTGCTGCGCTCAGAGCCCACCTTCGCGGCCGTCTCCAGAGAATACAAGGCTCCAGGTGAGTGTCCCACGTCAACGTGCTGGCTTCCCTTACTGACAACCTACCAGCCCGGATGCTATCGAGACGCTCGTCGTGCCATCTCAACAACACTCACCAGTCCCGGGGACTGTCAAGATGGACAGACTCCCTGAGGATGTCATCCAAGGAATCTTCAGACTCCTTGTCGAGTCTCTTGGAGATGTGACTAACGCTATGACTATCAGTGTCCTTTGGCACAAACTTGGCGATAAAGTGCTGCATGGCCATTACAGCACCAGGGCCGCCATGTACTCGCCTCGTAGAGATCTCCATATCTTGCCCAAGTTGGTGTTCACTCTCGAGGACGAGGAATTCCATGCTTCTGATTTCGGTTATCTCGAGCCCGACCACCTAGAGCTCGTCTTTTCGAACGACTTGTTCGTGTCGAAATACGTCAGCCATCGCCTGCGCTTTCTGCGCATTATATGCGTCAGCTCGCTCTTGCCGTCCAACATGGCAGCTGCAGAGCTTGCCAGCGAATCGATAGGAGTCGAGTCACACGCTGATTGGCTTCTGTCCCTCGTAGACCATACCCCTGGTCTCGAGACCCTCATCCTTGAGGCTCATGGCTTTGACGCCCCTCAGGAGAGGCTTGGTTACTTCTTCAAAAACGCCGTCTGCCTGAGACGCTTCGAACTGCTCTCCTTGAATGGTCCCATCCACGTTCGTGCCGGCATACTCCGTCTCCTCGCAAAACTCCCCACGCTTCGCACACTCAAGCTTGACCACGTCATTACCGAGCAAGACGCGGGCATCATACTGCAATCCACAGAGTGGCAGGGCCAGACCCCTTTCGGAAGTCTCGACAATCTTACTTGCAGCATGGAGCTCGGTGCGGCGGAGATCTTACTTCCACACCTTCATACACTGCGTTACCTCGACATCACTCTTCTTGACAAGGACTTGCACAATCTATCTATCCTCGTCAGAGTGTTCTTCTCCATGGCCAAACTGGACCGCCTTGAGTCATTGACGATCACCCTCCCCAGCAACACAACTACGCTTCCGCCACCAGCCCTCTTGGCTCTAGGAGTCCTGAAGAACATCAAAGCACTCCGCCTCAACAGTTCCCGGCCGCTCCGCTGTGACCTCAAATGGGATGAGTTGACAAACCTGGTTTCAAAGTGGACTGAGATGAAGGAACTGGACTGGGCTCTCGTTTTGGCATGAAGCGTGGCGCATAACTATCGTGCTCTGCTACAGTCTCATCTTTCCACCAGAGTTTGCAAGCAACAACCCATGCACTGCCACTACACTCCTTGCCCTCTGCTTATCGATATCCCTGCCTATTTTCAGGCTCAAAACTCAGACCTGCAACGCCACGACGGGCTCACTCAAGGGAAACACCACACAAGTCTATTTTCAATCCAAGCAAGTCGCAATTGACTTCTTCAACGAGAACTAGTTCGGAGCAAATTCCATGGAACCAAGCAAAGCAGGAACATGCATCGACAGCACCAGGAACCAAGTCTCAAAGTCCAGAATGACACTTGCAGCATTGAGCCGGATCAGTCTTCCAAAGCTGAGATGGAGGTGCCATCGAACCGCTGCTATCTCAGTATTTTTGGCTGTACTCCTTTTGTTTTTCTTTGCGGTGCTTTCGATATTGAACCTTTCCCTATCTTTTCAACTCGACGCCACAGTAACGCCTTACTTGAGATAGGACACGAAAAGAGAGGGAGATACAAGGCGGTGAGGTTTGCATTCGGGCTTTCACAAGTTTTCAATCTGCATTTTGTTCTTTTTGGTTTTATTAATTTGGCTTCTCTCGTTCTGCTTTCTCTTTGCCTGAGGTTCCGTTCATCTCTGAATAACGGCAGGAAGGACCCGGTTTTTTCAAGACAGGAGCTTGAGCTCTGTAATTTTTGCATTCAGCGAACATGGCAGCGAGGGTTCTTTGCTTGTGAGCCAGTTGGCGCTAGCTTTTAGACTTGAGAAATGCGAATGCAAAATTCTTGTTCTTTCGTCTTTGCTTGCGTGCTTGATCGTATAATCGTTTTCTTAGCTCTTAGAAATGTAACTTCTAGAGATTGCCTGGGTTCATCGATCAATCAGTAAACCTCTCAACAACAATGTCACTCCAAGTGTATATCTTCTCGAGCATCTTGCCAATGCTCTCCAGGCGCATTGATACGGATTCTCGCTTACACCTTCGCACAAGTCTCAGACATAGCTTTGGGACCCATCAAGCCCGGTCCTAGACCTCGCAAGTATGGGCTTTGTTATTGTTCTGCAGTACGCAAGTTGGTCTCCACATGAGTAGAACAAAAACGCAACCATTTTTCCGCATCCGGCCGATTCTGCCCAGGTATGCCCACTTTCTTTGTCCGCTGATATCTCGCCAAGCCATAGCTTTGGTCGAAACACAACTTTACCTGTGTCTCAACGTCCACTTTAAATTCACATCAAACCTTGACTATGGCGAATCACACTTTTGTTGATCACGAGTCCCAGCTGTTGGGTGAAGCCAATGAGCCGGCAGGCGAAGTGGCCGCAGGTTCGCTGGAGCGAATGCCGAACGAGATTATGGCTACCATCGTAGACATGCTTCCCTCCTCTGATCTGCCGAGCGTGTCACAGGTTTCTGGACAATTGAGGAGTAACGCGCTCGCACGTCAATGGAGGATCGTGGACACGAAGCAAGCACTCGGAAAATTGCTTCGTTACGAGCCAAAAGAGCGACAGCAGTTTGCAGGTCTGATCCACGAGTTGTTCATCGAGGTGACAGAGCCTTTCGATGTGGATCGCCGTGCTGAACGGCTCTCGCAAATATTTTCAGTAATCAAGAAGAGCAACTACAACCTGCAGATCGCTTACGCCGTGCCTATGAGGAAGCGAACAACGAGGTGGAACCCATCAAGCAAGAACACGCGAAGCTACTCGAGCTCTTTTCTCTAGAGTATCCGTCTCTGCAGAAGCTCAGGGTCGAACACACTTTAGAGAGCGAGCCTGCTGATGCCGATAGCCTCATCTCTCCGCTTGCGATTGATCGATTCATTCAGCCAGCTCTACGAGAGCTCAGTCTTGGCTCGGAAACGATCTACAATGTCGATCATGATGCTTTCAGAGCGGTTATCAACATCCTACCAATGCTGAACAGAACCAACACTCCCAATCTCCAGAAGCTGAAGTCGTGCTTGGACATAGTCGACGCAACAGATAAGCAGCTTCTGACTGCCCTTCGTGCGTGCCCGAACTTGACTACCCTGACTTTGGCAGGGAACCTTGCGCTTTGCTCAACGAGAAGATTTTGGAATATCTGGCGTTTGGCTCCAAGCTGAAAAGCTTCGCAACAAGTGCTCCGATACAAGAGAGCCTTTTCGAGACTTGGATACCACACATATTCGCGCAGCAGCCAATCTTTACACACCTTGAATACATCGACTTCCCGATCACGGAGGCTGCAGCTAACAAACTGTTCCGGCATATGACTAAGCTTCGAACCGTGCGTCTGCGTCTGCAACAAGTCGACAATATCTTGTCTACGCTGCATTTCTTGCCTCACTTATCTCAGCTTGAGATCGTCAGCGAAGTCGGGAACTTCCCCTTGGGTCTTAAATGGCTCAGACCATTGCGAACTCTGAAACTAGAGACTTTGCACTTGATCCAAAAGTATGGCCAAGGCTCCTTTCACATTGGAGACATAGGCTTGCACGATATAGGCACCATATTCGGATCTAAAGAAACCCTCAAAGATCTGAGTGTCGGGCTGGGAAGCCATCGTAACCCTACCTTCTTCCAAGACGATTTGCTATCCGTCGTGCGCGAGATCCTTGAGCGTTATTCCAATCTTACTGCCTTGTCTCTACCACTGCCGTGCGATAGTGTTGACCTCATGCAGCTGAGTGATGAGCCACTTAAAAGTAACATCACTCGACTAAAGTTCTATCGTCTTGAACGACCGAGAAGCTACTGGAAACATCTCGCCTAGTAAGTTACTTCTCATCACACCATTTCCGACATGCCGCTAGCATACTAACATAGCTGTTTTTAGTAAGCTTGACTGCTACAAACTTGCTATCAAGTTGGCAGAACACTTCCCTCGCCTTGAAGAGTTGACTGTCGATCAAGGCAGGGGGTTTGCAGCTAAAATCTTTGAGATCTCCGAGGACATAAATACGAGGTTCGAGTTTGGCAAACATGGCTATTAGCATAGGCTTTGCTATATATATGCGTGTTCTCGAAGCCATTGTACCTCGATTGTGTGCAGTATTAGTCCAGAAGTTGGGGAACATGTAATCATCCGGTAGCAAATGTATCCTTGTCAACGTCCTAGCTCGCCTGCTCCGCCAGGACAGATTGTCTATGAACTAAGCATGATTTCTAGAAACAAATCATGCATTTGAAAGGCTGCTATGTTTCTCACGCAACTTAATGAGGTTCCATCCTGGCTATGGAAATGGTTGGAGGGATGACCCTGGTCGATCGTGGATTGTCCAGCCTCGAACTCTTCCCATACTAATGTTGGACAGCATTCATCGTAAACCCGATGCTAGCTGAAAAGAACCTTTTGAATTTTTAATTGAAATACCCAATTTTTATTGAACTACGAGCTGGAGCAGTGTCTCCTGGTGATTCCCTCGAATTTCCAGCGAAGCGCCA